CTTTTCCTCTTTGCGAAAGCAAAAAATGCGTCTAGCCAGCGACGGCGGCAGCTGCAAGGCAAATAAGCGTAAACGCCAAAAAGCAGACTTCAGCAATTTGAAGTGTCAATTTACCGCTGCGTCGCGGGTTAGTGAAAGGGCGATTTTTTCTACAGGATTTTTATTTTTATTTTTTTTTTTGTGCTTTATTCATTCCTACTATTTTTGCTTCACTTCGGTTGGATGCCTTCGGTTCGTGGCTATTGGCTGACTTTCGCTTGGAGTTTCGAAGTTAAATTCGTTGCTGATTTTATTACATATTTGCTTTCAATGCTGATTTCCATTACGCCGGATCTCCGCCTCACACGTCGAGATGCTTATGCGCGCTCGCGTATATATCGCTTTCAATAGCCCATCAAGAAGTTGAATTATCGCGAGCTTCCGCACCGAGGGGTGTTCCAAACAAAGTAAATTCTACCATTCGAGCCAGTGATGAGCACCCAAAAAAAGACGTCTACGCTATTTCAATTGCGCTGCAATGTTTGTGTTTATTGGATTGTGCTTGTCACACAGACGCACGAACTTCTTTTCCCTTTTCGTCAGCGCTGCCGTATTGTGATGTACCGCTGTGTGAAACAGCTGTTGTCTCCAAGGACCCATTTACCAAAGCCATTTCTAAGTACTTTTTTCGAGTTAAGAATATTTATACATAATATATTTCCATGTTGCATACTTTATAGCCTGCCAACAAATAAACAGGTAGATAGATACATAGCCCCCGCATACGAACCACTTTGCTGTCAGCTAACTTTTTCATTGATAAACTCAATTTAAAATTACTGAAAAAAGTACGAGGGTTGCACAGTGTATTAGTGTGGCATATCTGCGCGGTGTGAGGCGTATCGCATACGCTCAGCCCAATATGTCTTACCATTTGCCAGCGAATTAAAAGAATATGAAAATTTTCTAAACAGTTGTTGCGATTATTAAAAAGTTATGAGTGCGCACAAATGTTGGGAAAGTGTGTTAAGCTTTCTTTTGTTGCATGAAAATTTACAGGGTGACAATTTGTATGTCTTGCACGAAAGGGGATGGCGTTGCGCCGCGATGGTGTCAATTACAAACTACGCTCTTTATGCATTTTTAATGGCAACAACTGCTGCTGACGCACGAAATTAACATTTTACAGCGCGTAACTCCAGCGAGCTTATTTCGATAGAGCTATTTGAAACTTAATTTGATAAAGTTTTGAGTTTTAAAGTAAACCAATGAACTTAAAAGTTTTTGGCTATTTAAATATTTATTTATATGTTCGTAAGTTCTTACGAATTTTCGTTTCAATGGAAAATTTCTCAATTAAACTGAAATTAAAGTGGAGATGCTATAATGCTCCATCAAAAATGTATTAAAAAGATTTTATGGATTTATAGGGTCAAGAATTGTGTTAACTTAAAGTTTCCTCAAAAATTGTATCGCCTTTGAAAATGAAAATGTAGAACTTTAACTGATTCAAATAAAATGGTGACAAACGGTTAAAGGAAACCACAGCCACAAAAAGAATGAAGTGGCCTGCAGTTTAATTATGGTGGACGAACACTTGCCCTAGGGGAAATGCCAGTGGAGTTCTCCTACATCTCTGGCATTGTGAAAGACGAGAGAAACTAATGCATTACCTTACTAAAACTTAATGAGTGACAAAACGGCACACCCAGAATTTTTCTAGAAATTCTAAAAAAAAAGATTTAAAATTTTTGGGTGCAAATGTTAAAGTTTACTGAATTTTTATAATTTTTGTACGAAGTTTAAAATGTGGATTTATGTGGCGCTGGTTAGGCACAGTGCTAAACTTTTATAAAAAAAAAATATAAACATTAAATAAACAAAAGAAAAATAGCCAAAACTAGACAAATTGTCAATTGACTTAATCAGCTGACCACAAGTGTGTTTCTGATTCTACAAAATTTAACTAAAAATAATTTGATTTGGATATCGAAAAAAGCTAATTTTGAGAATTTTAACCCAGAAATGTTTTCCTTGAGGGTTGCCAAGTTTTTTAATACCAATTTTTATCGTAATAAATTCAAGGAGCATTTTTTTGTAAGCATGTATGTATGTATACACAGTACATTTTCATTCAAAATAAGAACTCTTAAACCAAGTATATATATTCCTCAATATGGTTGCCACCTAATTTTTATTTTGAGATAATTTTCAATTTATTAGATTCAAAGTGTAAAAAATTGGCTTCCAAATATATTTTTTTATAGAATTCTGAGATACTGAGCCGGCTAAAATATTGATTATATTTTTGTTAACTAACATTACCTCTTTTTTCTAAGTTTCTATTTTCTCTTTGTTTCACTGAATACTCCTCTTTTTTCGACATGATTTGTATGAGAAGGGGTGTGGGATAAGCGTTATGTTAAATAACAAATTCTCTTAGCAATATTAAATAAAAAAAGTCTTTTAAATCAAAGCTAGATATCCAATTGATCATTATTTTATACCCAAACATTGAAAACTTTAAGAAGTTTATACATTCTGAGCAAAGTTCGGTCAAACTGGTACAGGAAACATAAACAAATAGATATGCGATAAAGTTATTAGGAATCAGAGAAAAATATCTGCAGGGTATTTAATTGCAATATTTGAATAATTTTTTCGGAAGCAATACAATATTGTCCAGAACAAGTTTTATTCCAGTGAGGAGTTCTCCCTTTACGGCTAACCTGAATACATTATTTTTAGAAATCCTAAGCAAAATTAACATTACTTAATCTTTATACCAGAAGTACGTTAGGATCTTTAATAATAAATAAATTTTATAGCAATAACTCCAGAAATATTCATACCTACATTGATTCTTCTACTAAATTTCCGTTGCTTTCTTCTTGTTGACTTAAACTTAAAATATCTACTGTCTATGAATAACAAAACAAAATTTTGTGTCTACAAACTTACCGTCCTCGCTCCGTTGAATGGTGATACCAACGCACCGACTTCTGCCGCAGCACCTCAGGGATTTTGACGAAACACGACAGATGCAGTGTCTGGCCGTACGAGGCGGTGATGCGTTTTTTCAAAACGCTCGTGTCACAAATGCCGGAAGTCTCATTGGCAACATCCTGCGGCAAATGAAGGCAAACGAAAATGTAAAATCAAAAAAAAAAAAGAAAAAAAGTTCAATGTTATTATGCTCTAAGGTAAAAGTGTAAAAATTTGTGTGTTTTACGAAAAAATCGAAATGCAAAACACAAAAAAATACTGCAAAAGATAATGAAAATGCAAAATCCGAAATGTTGATTGAGTGAAAGCATGAATGTAACAAAGTGTAAAAGTGTCAAGAGAAATGTTGATTTAAGCATTGAATGGCATATTTGCCTTGACACCAACAGCAGCGGTCGCAATCAATCGCTTTTCAGCACAAACACACACCTTTCGTATTATTTCGCTTCACTTCACACACTCACCTGCAGCAGTCCCAGCTGGTATGGCTTGCAGGTGCTCGCATCCTTGTCCCAGCCGCAATACGGATCGGCCACACAGCGGAAACACGAATCGTAGCGGCGGGCGCACATCGCCAAATCGATTTGCTTCACATTGTGATCCGTAGCCAAGTACAATGAGCCCGTCTTCTGACTCAAACCCATCTCGCGTATCGGCTCATTGTAGGCCACCTCCAGCACGTCGAGCAGATTGGAGAAGCGTTGACCGTAGCGTATGAATTGCACGATTTTGTAGATGAGGCCGGTGCTGGTGCCCACGAAATACACCAGATACTCTTGATTTAGTTTGTCGATGCGAATTCTGTAGTAGATAGCAGTGGAAGAACGGAGAGAGAGAGAGAGGGAGTGCGAGAAGAAGAAGAAATTAAAACAGGTGATAAATTTGTTAAAAAGTGTTGCAGTTAAAACAAAAAAAAAAAAACGAGGAACATTATGGATTTTTTTTTTACTTTTTATTATTTTTTATGGTTTATGGCGCTGTTGTTGTAACACTTGATTGTTTTTGCTTTTGCACACTTTTGCATGTTGCTGCATAATTAAAATGTTCCGCCCAAATTATCATCATGCAGTGGTGATAAATTTTGGCTTTGACCCAGTAGTGGTAAAAAAGCTGTAGCCACACTTGAAATTTGCGAGCTGCTTTATTTTGGGGATTAATGTGAATTATTTCTGTCGCAGTGCTTTAAGGAAATGGCTGCAATAACTTATAAACACACAAATAATATCGTAAATTTCTGAGGTGATGTCAGTCTGTGTGAAAAAATTTTAGCCCCTTCGAACAAATACAATCCAAGACTCAATACCAATGTCTTCACTGTCGGAACGCTGTTAAGGATTTGGAGGTATTTTTTTCTCAACGTGAGACTTCCATACAAGTTTATTATACTTTACTTGGGGAAAAATTTGATTAGCATTAGGGGCAGGCGAAACAAGGCCGCCCAACCACCCAGTGAAGATCACAACACTAGTTTTGGTTGGATTAACTCCATACGGGAGATATTGACGTCCTTCTGTATAATCCTAACGATACTCTACGCGAACCCGATTTACCAGCACAGCATCTACTCCACGACTTAAAGCCGAGTTTCACTCGCTATCGAGGGCGGCATTGCCATACGCCCCCTCAACGTCTACAAAAATGCCCAAGGCCAATTACTTAACCTACTCCTGTTTTAGGGCATCAAAGTGTATTTTCGAATGTTGAAATTAGCAGTACTTAGTAGTAGTTATACTACTTAATGGTGTTTTATCGCTCTACTATAAAATTTTTGCCTGCGACGGCTACGATGCGACAAAGCTAGTAGCTTATTGTAAATCGTTGAATAATGGCTTTAGCTCACCAATGAGTTTAAATGTTATGCAATGGCTTTAAAGTTCAAACACTCCCGGATGGATGATTTAAAATGTTCAAAAATTCTGCTCAAATTATGCCTTATGACATCATTCCCACCACAACTTTCAGCTTAGCACCAAAAAGAAGGATAGTATTGTTCGGAGGCAAAGTAAATAAGGCAAACTACTTACGTTTGTGTGTTTATAAATATTTATTAATGTATATTTGTATGAACATACATACATATCTACTTTATGCTCAAAAACTTTTTTGAACGCCGCAAGAAAGAGCTTTTTCCACAATGTTAGTTCTTCGACTTAAGTTGCATTTGTTCTTTCTTTTATTTTACTTCTTTTTTTTGTTATTTTTCAAGTATTTTTCCATTTTTCACATTCTGTGCCACTACTTTTCGCGGAAAATACGTCTTTCTACAGCTGCTCGTAATGTGGTACATTTATTTAAAAAAAACATGAATAGTTATTTTGCTCGCTAACTCCATAACAACAACAAGAAAATAACAAGTATTACTGCCAGCTTACTTAGTTGCCTGCGGATAACCGCACAGAAAAAGTTGACAACCAGAATTGTGGCAAGTTAGCAAATGATTTAAAAAGTTAAAAAAAAAGAAATACCGAAAAAAGGGCAGAGCACAAAATAATAGTATGGCAACTACTCGTAGCAGTTGGCAATGCCATTAACACCATTACTAACATTACAAGCAATTTTTGGCAGCGTCAAAGTCATTGCACGGTCTTTCATTTTACTCATACGCCATGTCGAGCACCAAAAAAATAAAAATAAAAATAAATAAACAGAAACTGGTATCATCGCAGTGGGATTATGTGCTTGCATACTTAAGTACACAAAGCACTTTTTAAAAGGTTTTCCGTTTGTTTTTTTTTAGTATTTTTGAGCAACAACAACAGTGCATGCAAAATGTATTTTCCATTCTCATAAATAAATTAACTTTCGTTTTGTGGTTTCCTTTTTATAATTTTTTTTTTTTTTTTTTTTTTTTTTTTACTTACCTATCTACCACCAGCTTGGTGAGTATGATATCCCTTTTATAAAATACTGGATTGCCGAATTCATGATCGACCGCCTTGTCCATTAGCGGATGTTTGCGTATGAAATTTAACACCGAATCTGGCAGCGCTGCTGTATCGTTGGTGCATGTGCCCGGTCTGGGTTCGGGCACTTTCGAATTGAGTACCGGCAGCCAAGCTGAGTTTGAAGTTGCTTGCTCTTTGAATTTGCCTGTAAGAGAGGGGGAGTGGGAAAGGATGCGAAAATGTTTATTTAAAATATTCAAACACTTGTTTGATGGGAAGATAAATGAATATATATGTATCTGTGTTTATTAAGTTTGTAGATGGCGAATCTGGCAATTTTTTATACAACCGATTGGCAAAGTGAGCGAAGTTATTAAATGTTTTGTATTATTAGCCAGGATTTCATATTTATATTTATACTTCTACTTTTAGGTCCTTAGTATTTTATATAAAATTTGCAAAGCTTGCTTCTTTATTGGGAGTGCCACTTTAGTTTTTGATTTTTTAAATTTAAAATAATTTTTACGTCCACGTTTATTAAGCTGAACTCACTGTTTCACAAAATAAGGAAAATTCTCGTTTTTTGTTGTTGCAATATCCCACTGTCAGAATTGTGGCATTTTTAATTAATTACGATTGTAACATGAATCAGTTTTCATAAAGTTGAGAATTGGCAACAATGCCAAATTGTCGGCAAGTAATAAAAGCAATTAAATCAACTTTTTGAATAAGTGCATTACTGTTTTTGCAATGAATTTTAAAATTTTCCATTGCACTCGTTTTGGTTTTATCATTTATTACATTCGACAAGAAACATTTTTTTAGTTCCATTGAGTCCAAGATGAATTTGCAAAGCAAATCGGAATGAAAATGCTTTTAAATACTTTTAAAGTAATATGCGTATTGTGCAATAAATATTTTAAATACTAATGGTAATATATAAAATTACAGAGGAATCGAAATAATCACAACATGCTTCAGTGATGCCATGAAAAGTGCAATATTTTACAGCCAAGTAATTTTCACTGAGTGAAATTGGGTGGGTGTACACCCACATCGAAAAGCCATTGCAAAAGCACACAACTACGGTTATATTTACTAAACATGTGCGTATACTACTATATAATATAATATGTGTGTACATCAGGGCAGGTCAATTTTTTTGACTACGCACGCATAGCCTAGGAGGATTCTATGTGCAATGCTAAGAAAATTTGTCGAAGAAACCATGGGTCTAAAATCAATGTATAGTTTGTCAACTTGCGAAAATAGGTTTCGCTGGAAATGTCAAAATTTTTACTGTTGCACCCTCTATTGGAAGTTTTAAGAAAAAGATAAACACAAAAAAATGGATTCCTCATGCCAAAAACCCCTTGTATCACATTTTTATAAAAAATTTAAGCGCTTCGAAAAAATAGTAGTCGAAGCATAGTCGGAAAAATAGTTCATACAAATTGACTCGCCCTAATGTACATACACAGATGCGTGCAATACACACGCTTTCAAGCAATCACATTCACATTCGAGCAAACAGCACGTCGCGTCGTTGATGTAAACTAAACGTGACATTTGCTTACACATACTCCTTGTTGTTGGAATTTTTCTAAAGCCGATTTTTCCCGCATATGTGCGCATTTAGACTTGCATATCGACAGTACTTTGGCAAAACCTCGTATCTCAGAACTCACTACTAGTTCTTATCTCGTAAAACTAAGGCCTCAAAACACTACGATTCATTATAGATAATTCTTAATTCACTAAAAAGGACTCAATCTTTAATGTTTAGTAAAAAAAAGATTAAAAATGTTTTTCTGGTTTTAATAGAGAGCATTTTGTTAGAGAGTATAGTTTGACAGTGTTTCGAGATACGAGGTTTTGCCAAAGTACCCTCGATGATGTGAGTGTATGCGAAGCTATATAAAAAATCGTGCACCGGATGTTGTTCGATAGTGTTGCATGTAGTTGTTGCTCTAATCGTCATTGCATGCGACAATTCGGATGCACACACATTAATACACACGTGC